TGATGATGATGATGATGATGATGAAGATGATGATGATGATGGTGATTACAATGAAGACGATGGACTGAGACAGGAGCCCTGCTCTAATGGAATGAAGGCTCCTCTTACAGACACACCGTCACCTTGGCTCCTCCAGTGAGGAATGTGAACTCTTCCCAGTGAGTGTTGAGAGATTTCATAAATGGGACCCCAATGACTTATGCAACTTCGGTGATTCATGGTGAGACCATGTGGTTAATCAGCCCAAAGGTGTCCAAGTGGGAATACCTTAGGGCTGGGAAGGTGTCACCTTCTAGAACAGAGACACTGAGAATGTGCATGTAGGAAGCAGGGGTCTCGTTCCCACTAGTTTGCAGTGAGAGGTTCCTTATTGCTCTTGATCCCTGCCTGCATCATCTCTAACGTTCCTACTTCAATGAACTCATGCTCATTATTATTCAGCTATTTTCTAGGATCATACAAGCTCTCCCTATCATGCCCTACACTTCCTTCTGGGCCTGCCCTGGAGGAGGCTTTAAACCCATATGTCCAGTAACTCTCTCTCCTGAGCATCAGGCACTTTTCTGTCATGTGACTCAAACAGTCCAGCTTCCTCCCCTCACCCATGTCCACAATCAAGTCCACATTTATGGGTACTTTCCCAGCAGCGTTCCCCTCTGGTACCAGAACCTTCTCCAGCCCCTGTGGCTGCTGAAGCCAATGGACAGTGGAGGCCCAGCAATTTCTGGGAAATTCTTTGTGAAAATCACCCAAAATAATACCCATTACAGACAATATTGTTAAATTAGCCATGGTTAAAATTAAAGACTTTTGTCCCATCAAAGATTCCATTGCACAGATTAAAACATAAACATAATGAATGTATTTCCAAATCAAATGTCTGATGACAGAATGTACACATAATACATTAAGGACATTACATGTTTGTGGGAGAGCCCAGCACCTTCTGACCACAGTGACCTCCCAGGGGAAGGGGAGGGAAGGGCTGGGATGAGGGTTTTCTCTCAGGGTTGTAGTTCCCTTTCCAATGAGAAATTCTATGGTAGGAATTCTGTTCACTCACCTCCCTCTGAACCCCAACATCACTGATGACACTAGACTGAGGAAACAGTTCCAACTCCATCCTTCATCATTTCAACATATGAATGATTCTGAGTTGTGCACATACATGATCACTGCTTTTATTTCATGTATTTTCTCCAATTAAAGCCATGACTATTTCTGATGAATCTATTAGGGGGGCATCTTCAATAGGCCATGAGCTTGCATATAAAATAGTTTTCTCAGGAAGCTGCAGACATAATCACAAAATTTCCCAATTTCAAGAATCATAGGTGTCTCACCTTTCTGTGCTTGGGAGTAGTTTCTCAGATCAAAATAACATCATAAATTAAGATATTGAGAATGGCTGTCTTTTATTTTTATTTTCTGTACAAAGATAGGAAGTATTTCTAAAAAAGTAGATTTTAAAAATCTGGAAATGTGGATATAATAAGATTTTGAGATTCAAAAATTGTCTGTACAAATGCTAATCCCTTTGACACGTGGTTAAAAGATTCATGAGAAGTTAAAGGTGTAACCTACTCATTGAGTCAACAATTTCTTATTCTCAGAGAATTTAGGCCATTCATTGACCTAACTCCAATGTGCTCATGACCCAGGTGATCCCCTGTCCCTGACTTACATGGTGAGTGAGGTCAACGGAAGAGATGCCCTAACAGGGACTCCAGGATGACCAGGGCAGCCTGACCTCCGGCCCTAGACTTATAGAAAAGGCTGAACCACATGCAAATATCTCTTCAGGCTCCAGGGTAAATCTTCTCCTGGGCTGTGCAGGCTCACAGCTCTCCCCTCACACAGGGCTGAGGTCTCTGGGAAGGCAGAGCTGTGGTCTAGGAGAAGATTAGTCTGCTGGGTCTCCTCCTGTGCCTGGTGACAGCCCCCCAAAGTGAGGGTCTCAGGGGTCAGGC